AGCACGTGGATTTTGACTTTTTCCAATGAAAACTGCCTTGGCTTTTTCAGTTCCTGAAGCATTACAACACAATGCAATAGTAACACGTTCTTTAGATTGTTTTTGATCTGCAACTAATATAAGTATTATTTATAATTATTATCAATTATATTAATTTATATCAATTAACATTAATTTTTTACCTGATCTAGTTGATAAAGTATGATTTGGCTCCATCTTCCAATAAAGTCCAGTTTCATTCACATTAAATATATCATTAGGTGAATAATCTTTAAGAATATTTTAAAGATTTTTATGCATATCATCTAAATCTTCCAAAGGAGCACTTGCAGCCTCTCCATGTCTCAAGTAACATTCAATATTATGACGTTTTTTAAAATCTATCAACCATCCATTTGATCCTTTGAAGTCTTATACATCAAGTAATGTTGCAAAATTACGTGCTTTTTGTACTAATAATTCACCACTAATAGTAATATTATTATCTACTGCTTTTTCAACCCAAAAACGTAAAGCATCTTCAATTTGTGGAAAATTTAATTTAATTTGTCTTTTAAGTGAAGCTTCATAAGATTCCAATTTTAATGCTAACCATTTTTCACTTTCTTTTAAAGTATCACATATCATTCCTTCTGAAACATTAAATTCTTGGGCAAGTTCTTTATTTTGAGGCGTTGGTTTCTGTAACTTTTTTAAACAAACTTCCTGTTTTTGAGCACCTGTAAGGGAAGCTCTAGTTCGTTTTATTTCAGGAGCTTTTCCTTTGTCTTTAGAGGAAATTTTTTTACTTTTTTCTTTGGGCATTTTAATGGTTAATCAAAAAAAATTTATGATCTTTTCGAACATTTAAATTATTAATTTATACTTTATTAAAATTTTACAATGTAAAATTTCCTTTAATAGTAATTTAAGAAAAAAAATTCGCTATATCCCTTAAATTTAATATAAAAATTCGTTATACAAAAAAATTCATTAACAAAAGTCTCATTTTATTATACTTGGTACGGGATCTTCAATTCATTATACGTAATAGTAAGATTTATTATAAAAATTCAGAATATAAAAATTCGTTATAAAGAGATTCAACTGTATACAAAAATTAATATATTACACAAGACCTGACTGGATGATCCACTTATTTTTCTGTCGTACAATCTGGCCAAAGGTGCTGTGCATAGCTCAGTAAATTCTTCTGAGTTAAAGATCACTACTCTGGACTGCTTGGCTTAGAAGAACAATCATCTTTTTGCGAAAACTCTAGCTTCCGTATCAATCTATTCAATGTTAATTTAAGACTAATTATATAAGCTTCTTGTCGAAATTCAGGTGCACCCCCTGCTAGAAACACCTTTTTAATATTTTATTTGCATTTTCTATAATTTCATCTAAACTTTTCATATTGTGCAAATTGATATTAAATTTTATACTTTACTATATGAGCCTATATCTTTAATCGAAAAAATATTATTAATGATGAGCACTCAATTCTAGATATTCACTCAATTCAGAATAATCAAACATATCTACAACCCTATATTCCTTTATATTCTTGATAATAATAAAACCTCTCGCTTTATCATATATGTGCTCATATTTGACAGGATTGCATAATAGCAAATACTACGTGAGATTAGTAGTAAACTTACCTTCGGTCTTGCACTGATTATTCCTCGATTTTTTTAGCCATATCTGATAGTTTGTCCGATTCAATTTATTTACCTCCTCTATTTTTTCAGATGAACTGGGCTCAGATAATTTAGAGAATGACATAGCATTATACCCCTTGTTCTATCGAACTGCGAGAGAGGGTATTTGTCATCTAACCCTTCTCTTTCTCTTAGAATCGAATAATAAAATGCCTCTACTAGATTGTAAAATTCATTTGGAATATTAATTTTATTTGGATATTTTCTGATCGAACCTATACTGACATTAGTAAATAGAACTATTTTAGCTATTGCCTTAGTCGCTGACATTGCGTCCTCTGCATTTTTAAAAAGTTTGTACAGAATTAGTACTTGTACAAGATCATTAATATATCTTCTGCTGTGTATATCATAGACTGGATCATGCTGAAAACTATTATTAGATAAATGTTCAGCTATCATCTTTTCTATAACTGAATATTTATCGCATCAGAAAAAAAAAATAAACTGAATATTTATTGTGTTAGAAAAAATCTTACAATTATGTAAGTACTGCGATTTGCCTTCTCTGATTATATATATGTATTATATCACTAATCTGGATCACTGGCATGAACTAGACTCTGTGATTTCAGTTGCAAAGAAGATAGGTTAGGCGTACGTTCCCTTTGATATACCTCAAATTATTATGAATTTGATCTACTGTCTATTGTAATATGTCTCCTGGTCAATCCCATTTTAATTTCATTTCTATAAGGCATAATGCGCATCTGTCTTCTTGAATACGTTTAATGTGAAGATATAGTCAACTGTTAGATTGAATTTACAGCCTTTTTCCTTGTCCTGACCCATATATCTGATAAGTTTTTCCTGAACAGACGGTCTCAATTCGTGCTTTAGCCGTCTTTTCTTTTTTACTTCCTCAATCTCTTAGGCAATTTCAGAAGGTAATGGGACGTTTCAACCCGAATGAGTTGGCTTAAATATTTCACACAACCAACTGTTAAATATATTAGGTTATCTCAGACTAGGTTTTCATCGATGACCCAAACACACTGTGGAGCCTTGAGGGTCATTCCTTGATTAGTATAAATAGTCATAGCATATCCAAGTTCCCAATCTATGTCTTTTTTATCCGCCAACATATTTTATCAGGGAGTGTATTTAAGGGTAAGTTCACTATGTCATTTTTCACTAACTCTTTCTTTTCGGATGAGCTGGGAATTGAAATAAGACAATTTTATTTGCGTCCATCTCTTGGCCTATAGATTAATGGGATCAGCACATTGGAATATTTTTCTTGATGAAATTTTAAGCATCTTTGGGAAGCAATTCTTTGGAAAAGTAGATGTGCTGATAAAATACGATCTGATGGCTTTCATTCAACTTCGAGATATTCCCATTTTTCTGTAACTGAAAGTGCTTCACGAAATAGGTCTGACTGCATTCTGTTATTTTGATGTCGCATTTTTTTCTTAAGCTCTTGTAATCTAAAGCATTTAGCCTGATAATCAGTCAAGACTTCCTCATAATAATCAGCTCGCTCTTTTAACCAGTCATGAGGCATTTCTCTGAAAAATGATGGAGGTTGAGCGTCATCCCCATAACAGATTATCTGACATTTTTGCTCTAGTAAGTAGTCGATAAACTTCTCTAGAATATGTCTAGGCACTATACATACTTCATCCCAGATAATAACTCATGGGAATTTCCTTTCTCCCATACGTTCAGGAGTCCATTCTCCTACACTATTTCACCTAAAGAAGCTATACCAAGTTTGGGCTTTACCTTACGATCATTTTGGAAGTCTTTAGCTAATACATTCGTATAAGTAAAGACTATCATGTTTATATCTTTAAAGATTCAGATTACGCGTGTTGTCTTCCCAGAACCACTACCTCCATTGAAATATGAAACTCAGGATCTTATAATAGAATCACGAATTGATGGAGTAGTATTCTCAGTAATATTTTTAATCAATTCCCAATGCCTATTTTTTGACCAGTATATGACATTAGAATCTGATCCATAAATCTTCTCACCTTTATCACAATATTGACCAGGCTGAATTTCTCGAATCTTTTCCTCTTTTAATAGCTTAAACTCTTTGGTAACAACTCTACTAGATTTGGTATTCTTCTGAGAACCTAAGCAAAAGTACCATTCCCCAAAGCAAACAGTACATATAAATGGTTTATGCTGGTTATATGACAAATAGCCCGTTATTCTATTAACGTAGTGAACCTTCACTTCTTTGGCAAATTCTTTGACTGCTTCTTTTGAATAAAAGACTCCTGTTCCACACATTGCACAAGAAGGAATTTTATGCGAATATTGAAACTTACTGATATCTGCCTCTCCTTTGTGATTGAGAAGGCGTTTAACTTACTTAAAGAAGGCAGATACATTTTCAATCTTATATAAGGCCTCTCTTCGTATATATATAGAATCTGTTGCAATTCTTACCACTTCATTAGGACTAAATCTCCAAAGCATTTCCAGCAAGTTTATATGAGCATAAGCTAACATCAAGGCCCGCAAATGTGTATATTGAGGCTGATGGCCTTCATAATATGTAAGTATATGCCTAAGTGGACATTTATCACTACCTTATGTCCCTTCCTTAATGCAATCCTGGATCAAGAAATTGAACTTATCTTCATCTATTACAACCCAGTGAGTAAGACGCTTTTCTTCAACTTTATTTCTTTGTGTGAATTTTCCTATGATTGCACAACTTATATTCTAATTTTAGGCAACCATACCTTCGTTTGCTTGGTAAGAGAAATAATAGCTTCTCCTATAGTTACACTTTTTAGGATACCTATTTCAAGAAAATATCGTAAAAACACAATAGGTGTCCATCCTTTTGTCTTCCCACATCCTTTTCCACTTCGACAAGCAAAATGATTTTCATACCAAACGGAAATTGCTGGATGGATATTGAGGACAAATTTGAAAGATCTTATCTGCGCAAATTCAGTTATATCATCTTGTAGTAATTTTCCATTCACTGCTACTCAGACAAGATGGTGTGTTGGATGCCTAAACTGCTTAAACTATAGTGAACACTCTCCTTGATCACGCATACTTGCTGGATAGCATTTCTTCATGTCTATATATACAACATCTTCAACTTGATAATTAAGCGCATTCCAACATCCTTTATGCCTATGATTGACGTAAGATTGCTTTATATTTTCATGTACACTAGCCAGAGTAGGATGCTAATCATTGATCTCGTTGGCAAGTTTACCTCTGGCATAATTAGCACCAAACACCTATTCTGCTATCTCAACTATTTTAAGTGATTCTAGAGACTTCTGCTTTCTTTCTTCATTAATTATTCCTTCTCAAAATTGCCAGTCTATCACATCCTCAAATAATTTCTTATATGCTTTTATAATATCTGTATGCTTCATCTATGATCTAAATGTACGACTATCTTCTAGAACAAATTGGAATATTGACTAGATCTCTTCCAATGTTTCACCTTTCCCAAGTCCAAGTCCAATAAGCCATATCACTTGGGGACCTTGAAGAGCTTTATTGATAGCCTTCCATGCATTATCACTATAATATTCCACCATTCAATCTCTTAGAAAATGATGGTTTCTAGGGAATGCATGACCATTGTAGACTACCATCTCTATCTTTTCAAACCTACCTGTTCAATATTTTTCATTATTAAAAATAGTTCTATGAGTAATATCAAGTAATTTGATTGGCCTCTTAAGTATTTTTTTCAATTCTACTACATCCTCTACTCGAGCATCAAATTAACGCATTCTTTTTTCCCATGTGCCAATTTTTTGTTTACGTGTATTGATAAGCCCATACCCTCTTTTTGCTTTTTCAAAATGCTCTATTACTCATTAGACTACACAGTTAAGTGTACCATCTTTCATTGGCATTAATCGTTTACTATCTGACTTTCGAATTATATACAACCCATATACAACTGCATTTGTATCAAGCTCTTTATATTCTGATTTTTTTTCACCTTAAATGATCCTAACTAAAAATTTCTCATCAATTCCTACCCAAAAGCCTAACTTTGTTTTCTTTGTGAGGATAACATTTGGATCTCCTAGAACGAATTTCTTACTAGCCTTCTTTGATTTACGAATGGGCTCATATTTGTCAATAATTTTAAAATGATCTTTATCCTCCTGAACAAATTTTACTCTTATAAGAAACCTATCATCATCTATTGTATCTAAAATCTTCTTAGCATGCTTTTTAGTCATTCCAGCTTCATAATTTTCTGATCTTTCAAAACTATGTTCCAGATGTGCTATCCATTCTGGATTTCTTTTATCTTTTGCCTTGTATTTCTGTATTAATGCCTTTATTTTTTCCTGTAATGATTTTTTTACACCTTCAATATCAGTACACCACCCTCTATATAAATATTCTTCTTTTACTTTTATCACAACTTCTTCTTCACTTTTAGCTGTTAATAGTATATTTCTAATATCTTTACGTAAAATATAATTTGCAAACCAAGTTGAAATGTATATTCAATACCATCTACTTTAAACATGTCTTTTGCTATCTGAATTTCTTTTTGCCACAATTTCTGATACTCTTTATTATCTGAAAATGAAACCGGCCAAGGCACTTTTTTATCTAGATCCTTGGGATCATTTTCAAATCCATCCTTTTGGTCAATAATCTCAGGAGCTGGCATCACTTTTTTTCTTTATCTTTCTCTATAAGCTTTAGTTACTAGGCTAAGTTCAGCTTCAGGATCTTCTTTTGACAGGGGAGTTGAGGTTTTCTTTTGTGGTTTACCAGTTGACTTTTCCATTAAATCAAACCATTCTGCATCTGTTTTCAAAATCTTTTTATTAATAATGTTTGGGTTGTTTTTTATCTTAGGATTTGCTAGCCAGTCGGCCAAATCCTATATAGATAGATGATTTTTACGAATATGAATTATAGGAGATGGAGGGTTAAGTACTGGTGATTGGGTTAGGACCCCGAGCTATTAGTATATGGTCAGGAGATTTCAAAATTTTTTTATAATAGCTATACGCATGAATTTTTATTAATATCAATATGCATTATTAGTACCTAACTTTAAAAATTCACCTAAAATAAGCAAATCAATCATCTGACCTTTAATTATGTAAATTATTATTTAAAAATTCAAATATTGTAATTTAAAT